GTAAAAAAATTACGTCACCGCTTTCCGAAGATGTAAAATACCACACCTCACGATGTAAATTTGCATCTCCATACACTCGGGATGTAAAAATGGCAGCCGCGCGCCAACTGCCCAATTGCCTTCATTTGGCTTCCGCCTCCCGCCCATCCGCGCGACCTTCGGTGGATACATTAAATAAATAAAAATGAAATATTTCCTTGGCCTGGGAGATAAATATAAGATCGCATGCAATTAGGAGATATGTTTTTCCTAAAAAAGAAAAATAACATAAGTATGTACAGGGAACCAAGCATTTACATATCTCTACTCCTAAAGTTGGACTTGATAGTCTCGCCTCACCTCCTACCAAACCCTCGTCAAACTCTATATTATGCCCACGAGCGTATTACAGGTGACATTTTGCTCAACCGTGGCCAGTTTTGACCGGCCCATTTGACACATGCATTAACTCATGCAAATCGGCACTTTCTCAAAACAAAGTCTTGAAATGACTCATTCAAATCAAATCGCTACTTACCAAAACGTCAAATATAATAAAAACTGGCCGGCCCATTTGACGCGTGCGCGTGTTTTTATTTTCCCGTTTTTTCTATGTTTCATTTTTTAGTTTACTTTTTTTTTCTATTCCATTTATGTGCTCGACATGGTGAGTTTGTAGAAAAGGTTGGTCTGTCCATTTTTCTGTTTCATTTTCTGTGCTCGACAGTTGTGCTATAATTATCTGTGTGCTATACAAATGAACATTTCATCTTGAATAAAAAAATGTATCAAAATGGTCTGTAAGACATGCAACATTTCGTTGCCGTGTATCTGTATATCTCTCTTGGTTTAATAATGTATCATATTGAATAAAAAATGTATCAAAATGGTGTGTAAGACATGCAATATTTCGTTGCCAAGTATCAGTACTCCCTTTCGATAATATATAAATCTATCATACACGTACTCCTGGCCAACCTTCAGTGAATACATTAAATAAATAAAAATGAAATATTTCCTTGGCCTAGGAGAGAAATATAAGATTGCATTCAATCAGAAGATATGATTTTCATATGAAAGACATAACAGAAGTACATACAAGGAACCAAGCATTCCCATATCTCTACTCCTAAAGGGGGACTTGGATAGTCTCGCCTCACCTCCCACCAACACCTCGTCTAACTCTATATTATGCCACGAGCGTCTTACATGTGACATTTCGCTCGACAGCAGCCAATTTTGGTAGGCTCATTTGACGCATGCATTAACTCAAGCAAATCGGCACTTTCCCAAAACAAAGTCTGCCATTAACTCGTTCAAATCAAATCGCTACTTACCAACACATCAACTATAATAAAAACGGCCAGCCCATTTGACGGGTGCGCGTGCTTTTGTTTTTTCTATTTTTTCTATGTTTCGTTTTTTGGTTTACTTTCTATTGATGGATGGCAGGAACAACCCCAGCCGTGGTTTACAAGGCTTCCAACCCGATCGCTAGGATTCAGTTTGTAACACGGGGTAGAGAGAGAGATTGTTATAGGAAGGATAAAGAGATAGAGGTGAGTTGAGATTACATGCACAAACATCTCTATGTCTAACACCCTCCCTTAATCTTAACTATCATAAATTAAGATTGTTCTTGAATGCTTCAAATGGCTTGATTGGCAATGCTTTGGTGAAGCCATAGGCAACTTAACCTTTGGAAGGGATGAATCATATTTCCAACTTCTTCTCTGCAACTCTTTCTCGTACAAAGTGGAAATCTATTTCAATGTATTTTGTTCTAGCATGAAAAACATGGTTAGCTGATAGGTAGGTAGCACCTAAATAATCACACCATAGACATGAGGTGCGTTGTTGCTTTATTCCCAATTCTTCAAGCAAAGACTCCAACCAAATGATCTCAGCACTGGCATTAGACAGTGATTTATATTCAGCTTATGTCTTGACATTGTTCCTTGTTTCCTAGCACTCCAAGAAATAAGATTGGAGCCAAAAAGATTGCAAAACCTCCAGTTGATTTTCTATCATCATTACAGCCTGCCCAATCAATATCAGAGAAAGCACTGAAAAGTGTAGAGTTAGAGCGTCTGAATTGAAGTCCCAAACCTACAGTGTACAGGAAGCACTTGTTTGGTCCTCGAACTCCCCATCTTGTTGTATGCATCGTGTAGACAAACCAAAAATTAAGTCCTGGAGCAATCTCTAAACCAGAACACATGGCCCATAGGTGGAACTTGAAACAAGAAATTCAGACATCAAATTAGGAAATTTCATTGAACTACACAGCATATGGCTAACAAGCGTGGAAGCAGTGAGAACAGTAACAACCGTGGGGAGGATGTTGACCCCTTCTAGCTTGTTGCATCAATTTCACCAGTCACATACGGTTGGACATCGGCGATACTTGATAGGATGGTTCAAGCCGTTGAAGCGATGCTTGATAGGATGTTTCAAGCCACTGAGGAAGCGAACCATGGTTTGCTTCTCTTATTTTTCCATGTGCTGCCATTGTTTGCTCGCTGGATTATTCTATGTTGGCTCTTATCATCACGGACTCCATCTCCTTTTAGTATTTTCCACGGTATGAGTCCCTTGTTGTAGCCCTTGAAGCTTCTTGTACAAGTGCCTTTCTGAAATTCTTGGGGACAAATATTGAGTGCATGGCTTTCTTCATCTCTTCCCATGTAGCTATGGGTGGCTCTTCACGATCTTTGTGTTGATCTTGAACTTGTTTCCCACAAAATGTAGAGAAGCCATAGCGATCTTCTTGGGCTCGGTGAAGTTATGTGCTCAAAAAATCTTGTCAACCATGAGTGCCAATGTACTTTATGGGAGTTGGTTTATTTAACGGTCCTCATTTGCAGGATCAAAAAACTCCTAAACCTATGTCGGCAACATCATCATCAAGTAATGTGTGGTGAGCCTTTAGTGAGCCGAACCGCAAAATTTATATATAAAATATCTTATGTTTGATCCTGGACTATCTTTCACAATGGAGCTATAATGTAAATGGCTTTGGCATCACCAATTAACTTGTTGTTAGTCACATAGAGAAATGTGTGATCATAATCACAGTGAGTGGTTCGGAGATGTTGTCTACCACTCTTAACTCCACGAAAAATATTCTTTCGACATACAACCTGCTCGGTAGCCTCTTAACATGCCATAAATAGTTTGTATCGGTGATGATGCCATGGTTGTTATTTAGGAGCTTTTCCATGATAAACCTCCTTGTGTGAGGGTGCGGATGTAACACGGCATGGAATTCTTAATATCCGCATACCACACCAAAACAAAGTTTGTCTGACCCACAGTTATGAGGTTATCAAACTCATTTTAAATGAGCATGTAATAATCATAGCCTTTCATATATTGCAAAGCTTGATAACGACTTTTCAGTTGTCCAATTCTGGATTAAACACAATTTTGCCGAGTATGCCATCATAAATAAGCGGGTGTGTTCATACTTAATACATAAGGTGCTTCTGACAGTTGAAACATAAGGAACCAACATTATCCAATTAGTTCAAAATTAGTTCCTTAGACACTAAAATGTTCATTTTTATCGCGCTTGACTTTAATAGCACATAGTACTAGCGGATAACGTATTTATTTCATACTTTGTCCATGTATGTCATCATAATATGAATTTTACTCCTTTTGGACCTATGTGTGGATGAATCTCCGTGCAATTAGTGCACAAGATAACACAAAGATCATTCTTGTCATTATTGAAAGATAGAAAACATTTGGTTTAGCTAGTGAGCTTTTCATCTACATGGGGTAGAGAACTTACTCCCCCAGACTTAAAGTAACATTGTCTCAATGCTTGTATTAGCTCATAACATAAATTCTCCAGACTACATGCCTTATCTTCCTTTTTCCTTTCATGACAAAGCCTTCTGGCTGAGCCACGTAAACATTCATAATTTGAGTCAACATAAAAACAAGTCATCGTAATAACACAAACATCTTGAAAATTCCTTAATCCCGGCAAGAGGAAAGGTGTCAGAAGACAAATCTGTTCTCTCTTTATTACAAGATTTTTGGTTACAATCCTTTTAACCTTTCAGGATTTCTCTCACAGTCATGTTTGGATTTGTAAAGCCATTTATAGCCTACAATATTTAACTCGTCCAGAAAATTGTAATAGCTTGTACCCTTCACCCTACATAGCAACAAGCCACTAAGATGAATGTTCACCCACATTATTTATCATAGGGAAGTGATGAGGTTCGACCCTAGGTGTTGCATTAGTTATTTCATAATCCTCAATCCACCTAATGCACATGAATAAAGATCTCATGGATAGTCAGTTTCTCCTCGAGATTTGTGTTCCTAGGCACCAAGTTCCCG